GAAAGACCTCTGCTGCTGGCCTGGGAACCTCGCCAATCCTGTCTTCTGTGCTGCAATGCATCTCTGCACCGCCCTCCTCCTCACCGGCGCACTCGTCGAGTATTGTGAGAGCCCAGCAGCAGCAGCAGCAGCTCTATTCGGGGTAGCCCTCCTCCATGCGGGGGCGGCGCAGCAAGCTTCCCTGCGCGCAAAGGCGAACGGCAGCGCCGCAGACCTGGAGGCCATTACCGTGCTCGCTCGTCAGAGACTCGTCTCCTTTGTCCTGATCCAGTATCCAACAACAAGACAAAAAGCTATCCCAGGCCGGCGTTGTTTCGTCAAACTGCGTGGCCTAAAAACAAGCGGTCGTCGGCGCGATGCTCCGTCTTTGAAGGCGTAGGAGGTAATCTTCCGAAAAGAGAAGAAAAGAAGCTGCTGGGCGGAACCTTCGGCAGGGAAGTTAAGCCGAGGCAAGCCGACGCAGCCAGCCAGTCAGCGGTCAGGTGATGGTCATCGCTTAACTTGCCTCGTCTGGAAGAGGCGATCCCGTGACCAGCGCTTCATCCTCGGCTCAAGTTTCACTTGTCTCTTATATAAGCAGCCCCCTTCCCTTCCCCTTCAAGACATCCTTTTTCCCTTTTTTCTTTTTTGCTTCTACTTCCACGTAATTTGGCTTTTCTTTCTTCTGGCTCGCGCAGCAAAAGTCAACCACGCTCCGTACGTACTGCAGAGAAAGTATGGATGATGGAGTAAGTACCTGCTTGGCCCCAGTCACGGTCACAGCGCAGCGCGTCTCCGTTCGCTTTACGCGTCCACGGTCTCACAAAGCGAGCCTGTCCTCGGGCAACCACATAGCCTGGTTGTGAACCCAGCTAGTCTCTTCAACTGCTGCCTGCGAGAGTGTATATACCAATACCCATCATTGGCCAGTCACTCGCCCACTGCTGCGCTCTTTCACTGCGATCGGCTGCTGCCACCGCGCCCGCTACGACGACGGAGGACTCCGCAGGTCCAACGCCCACTGGCTGTCACTGCTTCTTGACCAGCTGTCCTCTTCTTTGTCACTGCCAGGCAGCTCGTCTTTTCACTCATAGCAGTGAAGGTACAGACGCTGGAAGAAGCAACGAGCAACAGCAAAAAAAAAAAGGGGTGGCAAGGCAGGCGAAGCACGTCGCCAAGACGCAGGCTATCGGCAGTGATTGGCCAGACGCTAGTCTCCTTTAGGCAAGAGCCCCACCCATGACGCCTTCAAAAGCAATTTTTAAGGGGCGTGCGTGGCGCTAAGCGGGGGGAGTGCGTGGGCCGAGGCGCTGGCGGAGGGCGGCAGGCAAGAAGTATAAAAGGGACAGCCTCTTCCTCTTTTTCTGCCCGCTTTTTCGCTCTGCTGCTCGCGACACTTTCTTGCTCGAACCCCGAAACGGACTGAGAGACTCAGCGACGGAAGAAGAAGAAGAAAAAGCCCCCACCACCTCACGCCCACCAACCAGAAGCCTCATCTCCTTCTTGGCACTGCCTGCTTATCTCAGCGACTCGCCTCGCTCTCTCTCTCTCTCTCTCTCTCCGCCGCTACTCTCTTTTTCCGCGTCCTGCGCTGCGGCTCCGACCTGCCCACCGCTCCTTTTACTACACTCTCTTACTAATATACTAGATCTTCCCGTACAACTCTTGCGTATCCAAAAGGTAGTTAGTTTATTTGATGTTCATGTTTGATGCTCCATCTTCGCTCTCTTCGCCTCTGTTTTATCGTGACTTGGTCTTCTCTTCTCCGTCATCTCACCATGGCATCGCTGACTTGCGCCAGTTCGGGTGGTAGTTCTTCATATCATCATCGTCTTCTGGGGGAGGCATTCATTTGTTCATCTCCCATCACCCTTCAGTCTTTCATTTTACGGTAGGCCCATTTTACCACACACTCAAAAGCCCTCTCAAGAGCCCTCTCATTCCTCCCTCACTCACCAGCAACAAACACCTCGCTGTCCGGCTCTGTTGGCGCCTTGTTGTTCCTGTTGTTGCTGTTGCTGTTGATGTTGCTGCCTTCACAGAGGGGTCTGATGCTGACTAATATTTGCAGTTGCCTAGGTTGAATAGATCAACTTGGTCACCTGACTGTCATTGTTGCTTACCAAAACAAAAACATCAAAACAACTTCAAGCCATACCCAAAGCAGACAGTGTCGAGGCATCTCGATATAACTTTGTAACGTCAACGGAGATCGCAATCATGGATTCCTTGACGACCCACCCTGCAACTGCGCAGCAGGCCAAGGCGTTCACCTCGCCCGCCTCGCTCTCGTTCCCAGGTGGTGCTGGCGAACTGACTCCTCCGTCTTCCTCTGAGAAAGAGGCCAACGGTGCCCAACAGCCTCATCAGCCTCAGCATGTTAACGGCAGCGGTCCTGGCGGTGGCACGCCTGCGACCCCCGTTGCGACCCCCGGAGCTGGGCCCGGCGTGAGTGGCATTGTACCAACGTTGCAGTGAGTAAACTTTTCTCCCATCTTCTTTTTCTCATGTGCATTATGATCTTCTGCTCTTTGGAACATGCCTGCAGGGGGTGGTCGTGGTGTGTATACAATAAGTCTACACCCACCGTCTCCCCTTGTGGTTTTTGCCCTTCTGGCCCACCAGAATGCTGAAGCAAGAATTATCATTCTGAAGAAACATCGTTGCTACCGTCAACCTTGATTGCCGACTGGATCTCAAGACCATCGCCCTCCACGCCAGAAACGCGGAGTACAATCCAAAGGTTGGTGCTGGCGAAGTCGCTTGTTTACTTTTTTCACACACACAAGTAAAATATAAATTATTTGTGGTTTGAGAATGAAGCACAAGGGTTTGCTGACGGAAACAGCGTTTTGCCGCCGTGATCATGCGCATTCGAGAACCCAAGACTACCGCCCTGATCTTCGCATCCGGCAAGATGGTCGTTACCGGCGCAAAGTCGGAGGACGACTCGAAGCTCGCATCTCGGAAATACGCTCGTATTATCCAGAAACTCGGGTTCAATGCCAAGTTCACGGACTTTAAGATCCAGAACATCGTCGGGTCATGCGACATCAAGTTCCCGATCCGTCTGGAAGGCTTGGCCAGCCGACATCACAACTTCAGCTCTTATGAACCAGAGCTGTTCCCGGGCTTGATCTATCGTATGATGAAGCCGAAGATCGTACTGCTCATCTTCGTCAGCGGTAAGATCGTGCTCACTGGCGCCAAGGTTAGGGAAGAGATATATCAAGCTTTCGAGATGATATATCCCGTCTTGACTGGTATGTTTTACTACCATTCATTGCCTCTTGTATCTTCGTACCTAACATATTCCAATAGATTTCAGAAAAGTCTGAGTCACGTTGATGACGCCCCAATCAAGTGGCTGCCCTTGTATTAACAGTTTCATACCTTGTTCATCTCCAAAAAAAAAAAAAAAGCAAAGGTCATGGTTACGGTGCATGCAGTGGAAACAGAATGATGATGCCATCTATCCCATCCATCCACCTCGAAAGGCACAACTTGTGACTCCTTGTCATTTTTTTCCCTTTCCCTTTTTCCCTCTCTTACTACTCATTGCATTTACACGGCGTTTTAGCGACCTGACGCTCGGTTTGTTTATTTGCGGATATCCCCCTCACAAAAGAGAACGCAACTCAAATCACCTTTTTAATGCCTCCTAATGGGCAACGACTAACAGCAAAAATGACTTAAACCGGACATCAACACACCTTTTTACCTCTCTGACTTTTATTCTAGAGATGAAGGTCCCTTTTATTTTCTCCTTTACACAATTTTTCTCAACTTTTTTTTTTCTCCTAACGGTTTCTACCAGATGGGTGCATTAAGGTGCCGGTGCCGGTCAATGTCTCTTTTTTTATTTTCCCTCTCCCTTTCTCTCACGCAAACACCAATTATCCCCTTCGTGGGGTCGTTTTATCTATGTTGACCAACTACGCTCTCGTCTCCCCCCTATATTTATCAATCCGAGGGGTTTCGCAACACAACACCATAACTTAAGTGATTGCATGCGGAACAGTTAAACCTTTTACTCCATCAACTGCATTTCACCAGTACGAAAGCAGAAAAACAAAAAAATACTACAAGGACAGGAAGAAAATAAACTGATCAAAGTGGCTGTTCCAAAGAATAACCACCCCGGTCCTCGTATTCAGAATTCTACAAGCGTTCAACCTGCCTTTTTTACCTTTACCTGCTTGCCTGCTGTGCATTCGTGTGTCTTTTAAAACTTGCTTTGCGGCCCTTTTCCTCTTGAGCACAAAAGTTTACGGGTGGTAGGGGCAAGGGGAGACGGGGAGACGGAGACGGATCAGGACCAGGGGTGTAAAGGTGTCAACCCTGGGGGAAGCGAGCAAATGGGAGCAGGAAACGAAACAAAAGGAATCGAGCGCTAGGAGGAGTAAGTTCCTTTTCTTTTTCTCTTTTTTTTTTTTTCTCTCTTTCTGTTTCTTGTTTCTCTGCCTTTTTTTTTTTTTTTTTTTTTCTTTTCCTGAGGCTCAAGCAGCTTCTTTTGCTATCATCTTAGATTGTCTCGAGAGATGCCGTGGCATGCATGGGGCGGTTTTCTTCCTCTCTTAAGTACGTACTTACAAATAGCTAAACCACTCAGACTCAAGCAAGGTATTTGACAGTCATGCTATCTAATTCTATCGACTTTGATTGTAAATTTGTAATATCACATGAAAAGCAATAAGAGATATATTAATGTTTTGACGCATGTTTCGTTTCATGGTCGAGACAAGACCTGAGCTGAACTTCGCAGGAGTGGGTGACCGGGCGGGCGGGGAAAGAGATAGGTAGCTCCGACAACTCAGCTGAAGCTGTAAAGTAAAAGGAATGTAGAATAAGTAAATATTAGTTAAGTCAGTTAGTTGGAGGAAATAAAGTCGTTGGGATGAATTAACGGTTCCTGCAGATCGTTCGTATCACGCAGCAAGGAAGCACAAGACACAGCGAAGTCGGACAGCAGTCCCAATCTGGAGCCAGCCTGCATGCAGATAACAAGCTTATGCAGGCTACAACTTGCTTATCACCTTCGCGTCACCACTATTATCGTTGGTACTGTTGCTGGGGCAGTTGCTGGGGCAGTTGCTGGGGCTGGTGTTGGTGCTCTTCTCCAGTTCATCGACCAACAGCATGCCCCTGGCGCCGGACCGGCTGCCGTCTTCAGTCCACACCACCCCGAGACCACCGGCAGGAGTGGTCACCGGATTGTCCGTCCAAGCCCACAGGCGAGCAAGGTCGGAGTCTAGGATGCCCTGCATGGCGTCCACGATCTTGTCGCCGAGGACAGGGAGGAATTTGTATCCATGGCCGCTGCCCCCTGTTGCGATGAAAAGGGACTTAATTTCCGGGTGGTAGGAGATGATAAAGTCTCCCTTGGGCCTGAACGACGTTAGAACTATTTTGACTGGGAATGATACAGCGAGGCAGGAGGAAGTTAAGTAACTTAGGTAAAGTGGGAGAGAGAGAGAGTGCGTACGTGTCTGTGTACCAGCATACGCGCGTCTTGGAGAAGGGCCTATCAGCCAGGGCAGGCAGCATCTCCCTTAACGCGGCGCGGGCAGCTAGTTGGCCCTCGAGAGGAACGGATGTCCCATGCAGAGGCAGGCTTACTTCTACGGGAGCAGAAGAGGCAGTGGGGTGGTTGATTCGCACTGGATTGCGATACCCGTAGCCATGCCGTCCGATCTTCAGCTCGTTGTTGCGCGGGGGGATGATGAACATGCCCGTGGACAGGTTGAGGACGGTGGGCATGTCGTTGAGCTGGCGCTGCTCCTCGTCTGTGAGAGGGAGGTAGGCGAGGGGGTGTCCGGTGGCTTCTGCCCTGCCGCGCAGATCGACTAGCTTCCCGGTCCATGCACCGGTAGCTAGCACTACCAGATCTGCAGATATTCGGTTGCCATCTGATAGTTCAACGCCGGTTACTTGGTTTTGGTTGTTGTTGCTGTGGTCGATGATCAGGCGTTCGGCCTGGCCTGAGAGAAAGGTGACTCTGCCGGTCTCGTCGAGCAGGTGTTTTGCATGCCGGATAGCCGACTCGGCGTCACTCCAGGCGGAGTCCCAGTTGACGTAGCCTCCGCTAACGTGAGCGGCGACTCCGTAGCCAGGCACGACGCGACGGACGTCTGAGGCGGTGGGCAGCAGCTCGACGGCGTCTGGGCTCAGGCATTTGATGTTTTCGTAGCTCTTGCGCACGTAGGTATGGTCGCCCGAAGACGAAGACGACGCGACCAAGACGAGGCCGTTGCGGTTGTATCTGCCATCGTGGCCCCAGGGAGTAGAGCGCCACTGGGTGAGGGCCTGCTGGGCGAGGCGGGCGTATGCTGGGTTTGCGTAGTCTGCGCGGAGGATGCGCGAGGAGTCGACGGAGGAGCCGTGGGGGTTGGGGATGGCCGGAGCAGCCTCGAGCAGGGTGATAGAGCCCTTGTGACGGCGGCTGAGGGCGAGAGCCGTTGATACTGCAGTAATATCGTCAGTACTTGATGCTGATCAGGGGGGAGGGAGGTGTGAAGCGAGATAGACGATGGACGCACAGCCAAAGACGCCGCCGCCGACGATGAGGATGTGGTTCGGCAGGTCTGGAGACATGTTAACAGCAGTAGTCAGTAAAGCAGGCAGCGCTGACCTTGGACTGTCTTCAGTCTATCTTCTTCTCTTTGGTGTCTTTTGGGATGTCTTGTCTGGCGTGATCTTGTAAAGTGGCCGTCAAAGCCTTCACTGCGAAGTCGGCGGCAGGCGAGATGCCGAGAGTGGAGATGGCGGCCATGGTGAGTGACGGTAGCGCCGACTGGCCAGGAGCGGTGGGACTAGCAGCTGTCCAGCAGTCTATCCGAGAGAAGAGAAGAGAAGAGAAGTTGAAGTAGAGAAGTTGAAGTAGAGAAGTTGATGTTGAAGTTGATGTTGATGTTGATGATGGAGATAGCAAGGATGGCTTATCGATAACTAACGGCAAATTCTGCTCTTCCTCGACCCCCCCAAGGCTTCCACTTCCAGCTTCTGCTTCTGTTCTGCATCGCCAAAGATGCGCCCGTCGAGAGTGCTGCTGCAGGCTCGCCGGCCTCTCTCGCTGCCCAAGAACCCTCCTCTGCGCCGGTACGTCTACTTCTGCTTCTACTACTCCTACGAATGGACTGGCCATGACTGACAGGACGCAGAATAAAGCAAGAGACAGTCACCAAAACCACCGAGAATGCCGCTCCCAAGGGCCAACCTCGCGTCCGCCCCGTGGTGATGACCGTCACTGCGGCGGGAATGTTCGCCCTGTCCGCCTACGGGAGCTATCTGTACACTACCTACCGCCAGGCGCGGGCCTTCAGCAGCAAGCTGGCCGTCGACACCGACGTATCTGACCGCTACCGCACGACGGCCGGCCAGTACGACGGCGACGTCGACCTGGCCGAGCGCACGATGCGAATGGGCAAGAGACGCCGTGACCTTATCCAGCGCGCCCGCGGCCACGTCCTGGAGGTCAGCGTGGGCACCGGGCGCAATCTACCATACTACCTGCTGGGCGAGCGACGAGGGGTGGACAAGGACGGCAAGGCAGCGGTGCTGGGCTGCCGCAGCGTGACCTTTATCGACCTGTGGCCCGAGATGGTGGACATTGCGAGATGGAAGTACGAGGCGATGGGGAGCAATAGGGAAAAGGGCAAGGCAGCAGCGGTCTTTCTGGCGCAGGATGCGATGGGCGAGGTCGAGTCTCCCGAGGGGACCAAGTTCGACACGGTGGTGCAGACGATGGGCCTGTGTTCGCACCCTGAGCCAGTCAAACTGCTGCAACACCTGGGAGAATTGCTGGTGACCAGCGACGACGGGAGGATCCTGCTGCTGGAGCATGGACGGGGCCACTATGGCTGGCTCAACGGACTGCTGGACGGGCTGGCCGCTGCCCACGCCGACCGCCACGGCTGCTGGTGGAACCGGGACATTGGCGAGATCGTGAGGCAGAGCGGGCTGGAGGTGGTTGAGGCGAGACGGTACCATCTGGGGACGACCTGGGAGTACGTCTTGAAGAAGAAGAAGAAGAAGCAGCAGCAGCAGAGAAGCTGAGCAGTCTAATGCAGGAGTAGCAGTCTCAAGTCTCCAGCTAAGGCTAGTGACCTGTCTATCTGACCTCTCCAGCAGGAAGCCAAAGTAAGTCTGTCCGTCTCGCCACCGGCCAGGAACTGCACTGATGAAGATATAAAAGTGATATATGGAGTGCAGGAGCCCAGGAGCCCAGGAGCCCCTGAGCTGCCCGTCTCTCCAGCGACCAAGCGAGCTCCAGTCAGTCCCAGTCTTACATACGAAGTACTTGCACTACAGTCCTGTCTGACTATCAGCCTGCCTCTGACTGGCCTATAGTGATACATGCTAAGGCTGGGACCGCTGCAGGGATTTACTCGACTGCTCTTAGTATCTGCAGAAGAAGAAACTTACAGCGAGACTAGTCGTTGGACGGGAGACCATTACAAATAGTAGAAGAAGAAGTAGAATAATAGAATAATAGAATGATAGAATAATAGAATGATAGAAGAGAGTAAGTAATATTCAGGGGCTCAGGGGCTGCTCTTTTTCTGCTTCAACTTCAACTATCAAATCGTCTTCTTCTTCCACTCAACAGCGTCTTCTCTTCTTCTCTTCTTCTCTTCTTCTCTTCTCTTCTGCCTCTTTTCCCCTTCAAGCTTAGTCTCAAGTAAAAAAAAAAAAAAAAGAAATAAAAAAAAAGCAAGAAAAAAGCAAGAAAAAACCTTCGACTTTCTCTCTTTTTTCTTTTTTTTTCTTTTTCTTCCTTTTTTTCTTCCTTCTTTCTTGCTCTCCTTCTTGGTCTCTCCGTCTTTTCTTCTTCTTCCTCTCTCTCTTTCTTCTGCTTCTTCTGCTTCCTCCTTTTCTTCTTCTATCTCCTTCTTTTATTACGGATCTTCTTTTCTTCTTCGCTTCTTCTCTTCTTCTTCTCTCTCGTCATGGGCTACAACACTCGCCGCAAGTCGCTCTCGCTGCCGTCGCTGGGCATCCACATCCCTTGCTCTGGTCGCCGCGCATCCAACAACACTACAACTACTTCTACTACGAGCAGCAGCAGCAGCAACAGCAGTAATACGACCGGGATAAAGACGGCCA